CTCAAAACAAGTTGTGGAACAGTTATAGTTATCATTAAGAAACTTGTAAGAATTTAAAATAATGTTCACAAAACATTTTAAAAATTATCAAAACGTTCGAACAAAAGTCCTAATTTTTTATATATATATAGCAAAAAGCTTTGCAAATTTGCATATTCAAATGTAAATAACAAAACAATAACACAATGATCATAGTTAACAAGGTAATAAAAGTTTAAGTTATATGCAATATGCATCAATTGGTAGAAACCAAATAATTGTTTTTAAGTCGAGTAAATTCTAAGAAATTTGCATGTGCAAAATACTAAATTAACATACAAAAGTAGTAAATATTATGTGATGCATCACTACAGACGTATATAGAACATTTCAAATATGAAATAAAGTTCAAAACAAGTAGTTAAATGAAAAGTTAATATTAACAGGAACCATCCAAAAATTTAAGTTAAATTGTAATAATCTTACAAACAAAATCTATGTTTATGTATCAAAATTTAAGTACAAAAGTTATATTATATCACAAATGTAATAATAAAGATTACAAACAACCAGACAAGACTACTATTATAGGTACAAAATGAAATGGATTGCATAAACTAAGTCCCTGTGCGCTGGCGTCAATTGTAATATTAAAAAATAAGTTTTTGAAATGGTCAGGCCGAAATCAATTAAAAAAGAATATTCGGGCGCCTGGACTGTACCATCATTATTAGCCGGGAGAACATTGGAATATTAATCGCAAAGGGGTCTTAATGCAAATCCATATTCATTTTGGGTTGTCTATATATTGAAATTTTAAGTCCAAAATTACTTAAGTCCAAAAGGGTTAAATCTAAATTTAGAAACTATTATATACTGTGATGCTACTAGGAATTAAATGAAAATTTACCTTATTATTAGAATGTTACAGTTTTAAAAGTGCACAGATTACAGAAAATGGGCGCGAGATAAAAACGACCAGAGAGACAACCAAAAAAAATCTTCTATCTCGCTCTTCGAGCGAAGGAGATCCATGTGACGTTTTTAACACGTAACACTCATTTATTATCAATTTATAGTTTTCTTTTAAAGCGTTCACATATAACAGGTCAAAGACTCTGTGATCGACCCTTTTTTATTGGTAGTGTAAAGCTCGAATGAAGAGTACTTCCACCTATCAAGCGTGCTGCTACCAACCTAGTAGGTACCTATTGCAAAATGTGCAATCATGGCAATTATTTTCCATTTTTTCTTGTATAAAAAAAAACACCGAATGACGTATCACTGTTCAGCACAAATGCTAAGTAACTTTTACAAATATAATGAAATAAACCTTTTGCTTACTTTATTTTTAAATCTTTTTCATCTATAAAATACTATTATCCTAACTATATCTATACTAATATTATAAAGAGGCAAGATTTGTATGTTTGTAACAAATAATCTGTCAAACTACTGAACCGGTTTTAAATATTAATTCATCATAAGGTAGCTACATTATTTATTATTACATTTTTCTTTATTTAAATACATTTTGTCCGAGTGACATACATATATGTTATCCCTATAAAATAAATTTCGCCCGTACAATGCCTGGGTGGATCACTAGTAAGTATAATATAATATTATAGATGCGAAAGTGAGTTTGTTTGTTACCCTTCCGTACCCTAATAGCTAACTCGATTATAATGAATTCCCCTATAGAAGTAGATGGGAACTTGGTTCTTGGCTACAACATCGCAATACTTATAGGCGTAGGGTGATGGAAGGGGTGATTTACCTATAAAAATCTATATTATTTACTTTGAATTTTGCAGAATTATCGTTTATAATTACAAAACCAATATTATCGCGAGCTGATTAATAAATACAGGGATTCCAATAAGTATGTGCCTACTAGTGAAAAATGGGTTATTTGTCATTATATTATGTAAACCTTTTTTGTAACATTAGGCAATATCGACGACCTCCGTGGCCAAGTAGTTTGTACGCCGGGTTTCATGGTGTCGCCGACTCGAGAGGTCCTGGGTTCGAATCCCGGACCAATGGACAATGGGGGCAGATGTTTGTGTGATGAATACGAGCATTTGTACTCCAGTCATGGATGTTTAATATGTATTTCTATAAAAATATGCTTATATATGTACAGTATATGTATTCTTTCCATTACCCTAGTATCCCATAACACAAGCCTTACAGTGCTAACTTTGGGGCTGGGCTAATTGGTGTGGGTTTTACAATTATTTATTATTTATATCGTTACAAAAAATTTAAAAATAGTATAATTCTGAGTTTTACATTAAAATTCAATAATCATAAACAATTTTGTCCGCTGGACAACCCCTATTTTTTTAGGGCGGTACGAAGTTCGCTGGGTCAGCTAGTACATATATAGACTGTTAAACACTATACCCTGTCTGCGCGTCGCGCTTCGCGCTCTTGCATTACGCAGTCGGGTAAAAAGTACTCGTGCGCCAGACCTACCTCGTAGACTCGCCGGAAAGGCATTGCACTATTAATCGCAAGGGGTGTTGAAGCAAAATCCAAACATTGCAATTTCCAACTATTTGCCAATGATTTTCTTGAATTGCGAAGCTAGGTCCAATTATACAATTATTACATAATGGAAGAATTTTCTTTTAACAGAATAAGTATGTATGTAGGTATGTATGGTATGTATTATTAGTATGAACCCCCGCTGCATCTTTGTTATGTGTTGAGTTGAATGTATGAATGGAAGCCTCGCTCCCGTGTTATTAAATGGAGTGAGGCTTCCATTCATATATTCAACTTTTTGTATAGAATAAAAAAAGAGAATTTTATATTGGATTATGAAATAACATTTGGTCATTACAAAAGGTTATTACGTGTTCCAATATAAAAATCTCTTAAGTATAAAAATAACGCCTACACTTTTTTTGTATGAGTAAAAAATGTTAAACCCGCGTTAGGTTATACACGTGGGCTGATCGCATCATGACACACAATAAAGGAGATTGCTCAGCTTCCATACATGTTTGGCCTAAAGACCAATAATCATGAAAAATTGTTTCCTAGATTCGAAATTATATATAAATTACTGTAGAAACGAATATTATTGACGGACACCCCTGAGAACTAGAGTAAACTAGGGAAATCAAGCCAAGTACCGAAATTATGGATTAGATTCAGGAATATAGAGCATGTAGATTAACAGATAGTTGCCTGTTTTTAAAGTTAATGCATAAGAGTAACTTTTAAAATCAGTGTCATTTCCGGTTATAATAAGGTACTCTGTGACAGCAACTGTGTGATGATTGTGAGTGAGCCACAGATTAGAGAGAATTTTTAAACTCTCGTTAACCGAACAAAGCTAAGAGATTTAGGTTCTAAAGCCATAAATTCAGTAGCTTCATTATTTTTGTTGTGTTTTTAAGATAACCATATTTTAGATTTTTTGATGTATCACACCTTATAATTTTATTTATTGATTAATTTATAGTCAGGGAACGTAGGCCCATAGATAGATACCTTGAAGTCTAACATATTATATACAGATTATAATGTGTTTATGGAGGTCTTTGGCGAAAAATGTATGGCAATAGACTTTATGATGGCGCCTACCATCTATAATAATTGTCTGAGCACATTTCCATCTTGTGAAAATGATAATATAGTTGTGGATATTAATACCACAGTGTAATAAAAAAAAATTATCGATCTTTACAAAATAGATTTGTTTTTATGTTATATAAACAACTTCGATCAGTCTTTGGCTGAATGTTACTACACCCATAGCCATTAAAAATGATTTTTATGTTTTCCAAACCGGTAAATTAAAAGTCCTTTTTAAAGTAAATATATTAGACAAAGACGTCCGTTGAAATCTAATGACTGTAAATTAAATTATAAATTACGCCAAGAATTACCGTGTATGTCAATATTTTGTTGTGCATTTGAGCCAATTTGAGCAATCTCCTTAGAAAGATTGTTGACTTTCAATATATTGGACGAAACATAGTAATATTTTATATTATCTAGGACGTCCACGTGGATTATATTGCGAAGAAAATGCATTTTTTTACAATAAATGTCGCTAGGTGAGCTTAAATGTGATTCATGTAAGTTGATTTCTTTACAATAGATGTCGCTAAGTGCGCTTAAACGTGATTCATGTAAGTTGATTTTTCTGAGAGATAAACTTTTTAATGTAATATAAATTGTTATGTTTGTGTAAGATAGCGCAATAAATAAATATTGTATTCTACCACATACATGATAGTACTTTTATACTGATAATTAAAGCAATTCGTGCAAAGTTATTCCTTAACCATTTCAAAATATCAAAAATGCACAACGTTAATATTCAAGTTTTCACTTCTGCCGACACTCCCGGAGTGCAACCCGTCGCTATTTTTTTTAATTACGAAGGTTCTCACTATTTTTTAAAGAAATTAAACAAACAGGCAGACAGCCATCTCCACGGCAAACTTATGTCTACTGCTAAAATAAAATCTACATGTAAATTACCGAAATATTTAATGGAAAACCCGTTTTTAGAGATTACTAAATTCTCATCTTGTAGGTAAATAATTACGTCTTAGAGACGTTAAAAATTTTCTTCCTTTTTGTTCCTTCCAAAAGGCAAGCAAAGGAATCAGTCTAGAAGCCTTGTTAAGCCACAGAAAATAAAAAAAATGCATGGACTAGCGAAAACGATCTTATGGGAAACGAAAACAGTGAAACAACTTAAACAGTGGCCTTCTATCTCTCTCTTCAAACAAACAAAACTCATGTGACGTTTTTAACACGTTACATCGTGTGACTTATATACCACTGACCAGTGAGACACCATAATGTACAAACAAACTTTTTCGCGGGAAATGGATAATGTAATTTATGATTTAGTTTTTGTACTGAAATACACAACATAATGTTGAATACTCACTTTATGGACTCCAAAACATTAGTAAATAACATGAGACTGTTTTCGGAACTTGTCAAATACCATAAAGCTTTATAATTTTTCTTTTTTATTTCAGTTTTATGAATATTTCCATGACAAATGTAGTGTATTGTGATCAACAAGGGAATGAGTACACATTTGAAAATTTGTTTATACATGCTCGTAATATAAGATATGTGCATGTACCTCAATCAGTGAGTATTACCAATAAAGCTGTTTTAAATAAAACTATTTTTACATGGTCAATAATATTATTCTTTTTTTCTAGGCTTCAATCATAACAACTATACGAAATGAGTTGACTCAAACAAAACAGAAAGTTCCAAAAACCTCTGTTGAAAAATCTAGAAAAGCAAAGAAAGCTCTTAAGCTGCATATGGAAACTGTAGCGTCTATTTAATCATTATTATTATATTGAATAAAATTAGTTAGAAGTTAAAGTTCTTATTTCAACTTATTAAGGCTTATTCAATAAAAAGATGTTTTTTAGAATTCACTGTATTTCTGCTGAAAGTAAATTATAATAACAGCCAAAAATCACCATGACAACATAATATATTTAAAAAACTATCAAAAAGTAAAAACTTATAATACAGAAAAAACGAGCGAGCCTTACAGTAGTCGCGTATGATGTGTAACATTTGAAACCTCACCTTATATTAGTAAAAAATATATTTTTATATCTTTTTTACAAAGGGAATAAGCCATTTAAACATTTTGTTCTAAAATCAAATCAAATAGCGCGCGCTTTCGCGACTTTCTGTTACACAGTTCCGTCCCATTTCACGAAATCACTCCCACAAATTGCGGGAAAGCGAGAGGAAAGATGTTACACATCAAAAAAGGAGATTTTATATTCGGATTCACAACATGCTCCACTTTTTTTCATAAAAGGACCTTTTTAAGGGGGCGCATCAGGACCCCACCTGCTTGTCGAATATCTACCACCCTGATTATACCGTCGCGACCCGCTTACGTGGCTTCAACCACTCCGCGAGGCCAGGTTCCTTTTGGGAGAACACCGTCCCCAATAAGAACCGGGTTGGCCTGATCGACGCAACAGTCCCTGAGATACGGCGAGGAGCTAAGGTTGGTAGGTATTCCGAGACCCACCTACGCCAAAAATGATCAGCAAGCCTAAGGTTAATAAAAACTTTTTTAAGACTTTTCGCCAACCGCTTCTGCCACAAAGGTCCGAGGACGGCACTGGACAAATTATAAATATATTTTTTTATACTTAAAATCAATGATATTTTATCTATAGATATGTTACGTTCAGAGTAATTGCGTTTTAAATATGTTACAAATATCAATCAAACTTCAAAATTTCAATTATTTTTTTGTGTATAGAATAACCTTTATTAATTGTAGAGTGGACACTTGATTGAAAAGTAAGTACAATTAGGTTGGGGAAAATTTTTCTTCGCGGTTTTATATTTAATTAAAGTATGTGGGTGCCATTTTCTTCGATAACTTTTTGCCATCTTGTAGGTAGGGACATAATCCCATTGCTATATAATCTTTGGGGCTTCTGATCAAAAATCGCGGCAAGTGGTTTTGGCAGTCCTCTCGTGATGTTAATCTGACACTGCCTAAAGAATTCTGAAGAGACCGAAACACACTGCCCTTGCACCTTCAGATTCCCATCGGAATCTGAAGGTGCAAGGGGAGGACTATACGGCGGATTCATTAACACCTCCCAGTCACTCTTAATTTTTGCTGAGTGGCTAAAGATGTGTGAGGTGTATAGTTATCATGATGAAAAACCACACCCCTTCTGTTGATTAATTCCGGCCGCTTTCTCTCAACTTCTTGCTTTAATCTCATCAGTTGTTCGCAGTGGAGTTCAGAATTTGCTTCTTTGTTCATGAACAATTGCGATCTAATCTTGTAACCTGACTTAATCACTCGGAAACCGAATACGTCCCGGAGTCGATCAGGTCGACCTGTCAAGTCTACGTGATTGAACCGAATATTGATCGGTTACCGCTTTGACTTGACTTACCGTCAAGCGTTACTACCGACTTGATCACAATAATGACAATTGTGATTGACGGCACTGGCTGCGCTTGCGCTTTACGCGGAGTGATAGGTATTACTTAATAAGTTTTTCTCATTTGCGGCCGCAACATTAAAGATAAACGTGGCAATGGTGAAAAGCGCCTACATTATTACCGAGTGTGATTTTGTCCTACTATTATTAAAAGTTTTAAAGGGCCTTTCCTGTTCTATGGAAATTTATATTAACATATACAGATATAAATATTGTAACATCTGTTTAATTACAAGTTGTGGTACACGACTTTTCTTTGACGACGTGACGTCACAGACCGGCGATCACGCAAATAATATGTCAACAATAGGTACATAACTTATGAAATAATAGGTAGCACAATTTAACAACCATTAATTACGATCGAACATACATCCTTGATTATGTTTCGTCTACTAATTCATTCCTGGAATCATTGCTGTGTCTGAAAACACGATCATAAATAATATTTCATTGTAAAAAGTGTTTATCGTAATGTCTTTATAAATACCGAACCAAATTACGATTTAATGGTATCATTGCATTCAGAAAATTATTCTCATTCCATTTCACGGCTTGTTTTCAATAAATATGAAAATCTCATTTTCAATAAAAAAAAAAACAAAACCAAACGCCAAGTCACGGTAATAATATCATACAGTATTCTATCTTCATACAAACGGTCGGAAAGCGAGTCATACCTACGCCACTCGAGTTCGATGTGCTCTCGGCGTGCACCCAGTCGCGAATGCGCCGCCGCGCCGCAACGACGACCGAACGGTCTGAATTGCTTTTTATGCAGTTAACCGTGCTTAAACATGCGTTTTGTATTGTAAATATTTGATTTAATTAAGTAGATACCTACATAATTTAGTATGGAAAAGAACAAACGACGATCAATATCGTACAACAGCACAATTGCTGTTTTTGGTTGCTTGAACTCTTCAATAACACACCCAGAGATATCATTTTTTAAATTACCTGGAAAGGTGTCTTACCTTTATAGAATATTTTTTATATACCTATCTACTAGTACGTTATTTGTATCTAATATTTAGGTATTTCGGTTTTTCCATCGGGCAAAATATCTGGAATAATATATAAATAAGTGGTTAGGATGAAAAAAGAGACAAACGAGTAATCTACCTACACTCGCGTTAAAAACAAAACTACATAAAATACTGTAGGCTGGCGGCCCTACCGCGTGCCAACGCAGCGTTCGGTGTAGGCATTTATTTTCAAGGACAGGGCGGAGTCACAATACTGTATAGATAATATTACCGTGGCCAAGTGATCAAGTTATCCATCGATATAATCGATGTTTGCGTAATCCCACGCCATGGCACTACTGACTTACTTAAGACAGTCGCCCGGAGACATACCTAGGAGAAGGCTGTATCGCTCGTCGCCCAAATCAGTCCGCCGTATAAAAGGTCCTCGTGGCACCATGTTTGGTCGGCCGATTACCGAACCAGAGGGATGATATTGGCACTCCGCCATGCCCCTTAGTCTATAGTTTTTTTATGGCCTTCTGCCCGCAATATGTGTATGAATAATAATAAATAGTGGAAATATAATCTCGCGGCCATCGTGTGCGCGCGTGGTGTGACATGTGGTCATCCACGCTCTCCGGCTCTTCGCGTCTTCGGCTTCACCGATGGGCTCAAATGCCCATGAGCTCCTTCCGCCTGCGTGCTTCCTGCTGAGGACTGCGGCGTCAGCCCGTAGACCCCAACCATCAGGGTGCAGCATGCTGTGACGTCAAGGGTTGACGTCCGGAGGCATCATCGCCATCGTCGCTTCGTTCAGCGAGGGAACGTGGTACCACCAGTGATGTGTGTCAAATCGTGAGCTCACGTAGTTTCCCCTTTTGTTTTTTCGCGAGTGCACGCGGGTAATTCCCCGTCGCCACGTGTCCCATCTGGACTTTAATGACTTTGGGGTCGATATATTATTATATACCATCATCGGTAGTATATCATAAGAACTATTGTTTCGCTGCGGGCCGCCGCCATGTAATCCGCGAGATTATTTAATATAAATTGCATGTACCAAAACCGCCATCTTTGATTTGTTTTCCCACGCTACGGCCTTTGTACTTCAATAGTTCATTGCTGTAACCGAGAGTTTTATCCCGGTACCTTATCAGCTGGGTATTAGCTGAAATAACACTTGCTCGTATGTAAGGAGGTTCCGTACCATTAAATAGTAAGGTAAAGTAAAATATTTCCATTTATTTTTCTCATTTACATATAAACTAAAACGACACATTTCTCTTTTACATACGACAATGGCGCCCGAACTGGGACGAACATTAGGTTTTCATTTAAAGCGATCCCACATAGAGGCAAACTGTGCTGATGGATCAGCAGTTAAGGTCATTGGCACAATTTCACTTCCAGTTACTTTTAAAAATATAACTCAAGAGATTGAATTTTTAATTATCCCAGTCATTAAACAGGATTTTATTATAGGTATGGATTTTATACACTTATTTAAAGTTTTGAATTTTAATTATTTAAATGATCTTGAAATAGTTGACTATAACAATAGTTCCACAGAACCGGAGTCTATTAATGAGATATGTGCATTAATTCCTAGGAGTAATTTATCTTTTTCTCAATCCGCACAACTCGATAAAATAATCGAAAAATTTACATTAATTTCAACAGATAAAAAAGGATTAGGTAAAACTGACATAATTGAACATAAGATTGTGACTCAAGGCCAACCTATTAAACAAAGGTACTACCCTATGTCTCCTGTCAAACTACAAGCTCTGAATGAAGAGATTGACAGAATGTTAGAGCTATGTGTTATTGCTCCTTCGAAGTCACCATGGTCTAATCCTGTAGTAATGACTCCTAAAAAAGATGGTTCACTTAGATTTTGTTTAGATGCAAGAAAGCTTAATGACGTCACTATCAAAGATTCTTATCCGTTACTTTACATAAGTTCGATATTAGACAATTTGAAAGGAGCTCGATTCTTAACTTCTATAGATTTATCAGCCGCTTATTGGCAATTAAAATTATGCGATAATGACAATTACGATGGCACTGGTACATCTTGTCAAAAGACAGCTTTTGTTGTTCCCAATAGGGGTTTATTTGAATTTAAAAGGATGCCATTCGGTTTATCCAACGCAGGGTCTGAACTTCAACGTCTCGTTGATTCTCTATTTAGACATAGGTATGGAGAGGAAATTTTTTGTTACTGTGACGATTTGTTGATCGCAACAGGTACTTTTGTTCGCCATATTGAAATACTAAATGCAAACCGGTCTTACCATCAATTTTCAAAAATGTGAATTTCGCAAAGATGAATGAAGATATCTAGGCTATGTTATAGGAGCGAGTGGTTTACAA